GAGCAGGGAATGCGTGTGAGAACGTGGATTAAGCAAGTGGAGACGATATCGGGCACCATCGCAGATTCTTTTGGTAGCTATGTCCGACAGCAGTTTCAACTTGCGGAAACGAGGCATCAACAACAACTTGCAGGGCTGTATGGTCCGAGACCCTTGTTGGCGGTTGCGACTGAGGATCTGGAGCATGAAAATCGCTTCGTGCTGATGCTGATTCGGTGCATTCCCGCTGAGTTGAAACAAGGTGTTTTGGAAAAGAACTCTGAGAGTGAACCTATCAGGGCAGCGGAGCTTCTGAGTGGCAATCTTGAGAACTTGCAGCCTGGTGGAACAGCTGAGATGGCATCCATCAATTCATTCATCCGGGCCTTACAGCCAGTGAACAGTGCTACAGAAGCTTTGTCTACGTTGCGAAGGTGGAAATTGGCTAGAGCAAGGGCATCTTCACTGTCTATGCCGTCAGTTGCCGCCTACGAGGAGCTTTAAATCCTGCTTCCTTGTATGGGTTCCCAACGGGTGCCACAATCCTGCCTGACAGGTTTGCGGCATTCCAACACTTTTGGGGCAAGCCGCATGAAGCCAGTTTGAGGCAGGGTGTAAAATACTCTTCAAGCCCGCCGGTCAGTGTCAACGAGGTGTATGTCCCCTGACACCGTTCTATTCCCCGAAATATTCATATGATAATACCCAAAGGGTGTGGAAGTGGGTTCCCGTGGTTTTTGCAAGACTTCCACTGGGCTCCCAATGGGTTCCCTTGGTTTTTGCAGCATTTCTGCTGGGCTGACAATGAGTTCCCTTGGTTTTTGCAGCATTTCTACTGGTCACTGGCTTGGGTTCCCAACGGGTTCCCCTGGTTTTTGCAGCATTTCTGCTGGGCTCCCAATGGGTCCCTTGGTTTTTGCAGCATTTCTACTGGTCACTGGCTTGGGTTCCCAACGGGTTCCCCTGGTTTTTTGCAGCATTTCTGCTGGGCTCCCAGTGGGTTCCCTTGATTTTTGCAGTATTTCTGCTGGGCACACCAGGCATCCTGTGGCCAGCGTCTGGATTTGCTTCGACTGTTTACTCCAATTCACTTAAACTTGGGCTTCTTGGGGCTTCTGTGCATGTTTTACCCAATCCTGCCTGGCAGGTTTGTGTAAACCCTGACCGGCGGGCTTGAAGAGTATTATACACCGGCTTTTTCCTAAAGGGCTGGCCACACGCTGCTGCCGGTAGGGCTCACAAACCTGCCAGGCAGGATTGGGTAAAACATGCACAGAAGCCCCAAGAAGCCCAAGTTTAAGTGAATTGGAGTAAACAGTCTAAGTATTTGAATGCCGCAAACCTGTCAGGCAGGATTGTGGCACCCGTTGGGAACCCATACAAGGAAGCAGGATTTATACAGCCAGTGAACAGTGCTACAGAAGCTTTGTCTACGTTGCGAAGGTGGAAATTGGCTAGAGCAAGGGCATCTTCACTGTCTATGCCGTCAGTTGCCGCCTACGAGGAGCTTTAAATCCTGCTTCCTTGTATGGGTTCCCAACGGGTGCCACAATCCTGCCTGACAGGTTTGCGGCATTCAAATACTTCAATTCACTTAAACCCTCGCTGGGGGGTTCCCCCAGCAAGGGTTTCAGAGCCCCTCCTGTATAAGGGGTCCAAATCACCAATTTACTTAAACTGGGGCCGTAGTCTGTGTCGTAGTATTCGGGAAGTGTATTTGCGGTGTCTGACCCAATATGTCTTATCACCAAGCAGGATTTGCTTCGACTGTTTACTCCAAGTCACTTAAACTTAAATCCGAGGGTTAGGGCTTCTTGGGGCTTCTGTGCATGTTTTACCCAATCCTGCCTGGCAGGTTTGTGAGCCCTTACCCCAATCCTGCCTGGCACCCGTTGGGAACCCATACAAGGAAGCAGGATTTAACCCTCGCTGGGGGAACCCCCCAGCGAGGGTTTAAGTGAATTGAAGTATTTGAATGCCGCAAACCTGTCAGGCAGAATTGTTAAATCCTGCTTCCTTGTATGGGTTCCCAACCCTTGCTGGGGGAAGTGTTTGAATGCCGCAAACCTGTCAGGCAGGATTGTGGCACCCGTTGGAAAACACTTCAGAGCCCCTCCTGTATAAGGGGTCCAAATCACCAATTTACTTAAACTGGGGCCGTAGTCTGTTTCGTAGTATTCGGGAAGTGTATTTGCGGTGTCTGACCCAATATGTCTTATCACCAAGCAGGATTTAAACCCTAAAACCCTAAACCCTAAACCCTGAACCCCACACCCTAAACCCTAAACCCTAAAACCTAAACCCTAAACTCTAAACCCTAAATCGCGTTCAGCTGCAGGCTGGGTG